ACTTATACAAAAGAGAGTCAAGAAGGTTCGGTTTTGAGTTTCTTCCTTGCCTACTTCTATCTTTCCAGACTAAATTGATGTTTTTGGAAAAGCTGCTGTATATTTTCTTCAACACCATCTCTGTACTCCTCTATATTACCATGAGGCAAATTGAGGCAATTACTTTTGATAGCAGATACTGGGTACAGAACAATCGCAGGACGAAAGCATTCAGCAGGTTTAAAGTTATGAATCAACCATCTTTCTCATTGCCTTTGGGTATTATTTCAGCTTTTATAGTGAGAGAACAGGATATAAACTGAGTAAATATAATAAAAGGGTGAAAACTATTGGTTTTAGGAATCAAATGAAAGACATTTTCAAAGTTACAGCTGTCATATTATTACAATAAATTTAGCACTTACTAAAATTCTATTGTTTAATTTTTTTTATTTTTTTACCTGTAGAACTTAATCACCATCACCCTCAAGGCTTGGGACAACAATGACATTTTAAAGTTTAACAAAAGTCAATATAAGCAGTATATGATCAGAAGATAAATTCTTCAGGTGTTATTTTTTTCACAGGACACATAAGCCTCATACTGCATTAAGTATTATGTATTTCTGCATTAAAATCCCTTTTCTTTTCATGCATGAATATACATTTACACAAAGGCGTTTCTGTTAGTATAATACTTTTTCCTGGTTTACAAGGAAATTGTGGATTCTATTTTGTAGTTTTATTGTATGATGCCCAGGGTGACTTTTTTTGTGAGATGGGCAGCTATATAATTTGAAAGAATGAATAAATAAATAAATTGCAGTGATTTCAGTCACTCCCTGAGGGTGTTTTTCATGATGAAGGAAGAAATTTGCATGATAATTTGGCATTCTTATACCCAATACTATTAATATATTTCAAGATTGTCCAGATGTCTGGAATGGACTAAAAGCAAAATAGAAATGATTTGTTGGCCTCTGCTTCCTTTTTAGTCTATTTCAATGTATTTTTAATCCCTCCATTCTAGTATGGTCAACATTGATTGACAATACTGTCCAGGCTTTCTTTGATATTGAATTTTCAAATTTTTCTGTTTTCTTGTAATTACATATTTACCAACAGCACAATTCTATATTATCCCCTATTGGGGAACGCACCCCAATAAATGTATATTGGATAGCAGCCTAAGACATCACACATCCTTGAGCAATATATGTTATTTCCAAATGGCTTTAAAAGTAGCTGATGTAAATGCTTTTTCTTCTATAATTAAACTGAGCGCAGTGAAATCCAAAGATCATTTTAATTATTTTCAAAAGAGCAAAATGAATAACTTTGTACCATTTGGTGAAATTGGAAACATAGCCTAGTGGTCAATCAGTGATAGATATGTCCACCACACGTTTATTGAGACAAGAGTGACAAGACATTCGCTAGCTTGAAAACAGCAAGTGTGACTAAGTGTTTGAAACTGTGCTCCCCTTTCACATATGTACTATGCGTGTAATGCATGTTTAAAAAGTATGGGATTTTTTTATTGTTCTGTTGTACTCAGTGTTTGGAAGCCAGAAAAGTCACTATAGATGCTCCTATATAAAAACACGATGTAAACTCATTTTGGCTTTAAAGCAACTTTTTTGATTTAGTAGTCTCCAGATTATTGGACTACAATGCTTTGAATTTCACCTGTCAGAATTCTTGGAGTTACAATCTGGAGAACACCAGACTAAGGTAATCTGCAAATGTATAGCCAAAGGCATTCAGGATAACCAAAGGCATTCATCTATAAGAGGCTAATATGCCTCTTCAACTGTTATTTCCTAGCAGTTGATATTTAAGATATGTTGACTCAGATTGTAGAGGTAATAACTGCTATCAACACAAATAACTATTTATATCTCAAGTTTCCTTGACTTTGTCTAGTCCTTTTAGAAACCTCTAAATTCGTCTGAAGGCACCCTCGACCCTTGAAAATGAACAAGAGTTTAGCTTGCAATTCTAGGGACTGATTCCTTGGCATCGCGTGGTCCCTTCTCATGAGGAAACTTGTGCAGTCAGAATTCTCTTCGGTATCAGTTGTTAGCTAATGTAAATAATATCCCTGGGTCTAGAATATTGGTTTAGATATCAGAGCACATTTAAACAGGTAAGATTAGCTGGAAATGAAGTGATGAATAATCCATGTTTCCCTGTTTGGCTGGGAGTGGGGATAAGGTAGAAACAGGGATTTAACCTTCAGATTCTCTTTTCTAACATTTCTCTATTTCTCCAGTTATTTGCTCCCCCTGGAATTCAATTTTCCATGCGGGTTTTGAGGCAATAGGATGGTGGAGCTCCAGGAAGAATGGAAGGACAAATTTATAGCCATCCCATTCTAGCTCCATTTTCCCCCCCAGGGAATATAAATGCTATTGCTGCTAGCATCTAATTTTATCCCCATGGGGTTGGGGGCATGCTGTGTGCAAACTATCATAACCATTCTTTGATAATAGAGAGGCAATTCAGTCTGTTCTAATCTTTGTGGGACAGCATTGAAGGACAAAAAGAATTGCACTATGGGGATCTTATTAAAGAACCTGCAGTATTACAATATTTGTTTGCTCAGGAAAAAACTCTAAAGAATTCTAATTATATTTCATTAAATCTGACATTTTTGCTTCTTAGCTAAATTTAGTATGACTTGGCTAGTCTCATAAACTAAATTGATTCAGGAAACCTTTTTTGAAATCGTTAATTCTTCTGATTAGTATTCTGCTTAAAAAGCAGTTCTTTTGTAGGATAGTAAAAATGGAACAGATCCACCAGCAAGATTTTGCATATTCTCAGCACCAAAGCTATGCTTTGATTGGTTTCTGATGACACAAACCTATTTTGTCTACTCAAAAATAGTCTCCAGTTTGGTGGAGTTTAATCTCAGGTAAGTATGCACTTGCAGCCTAAGCCTCTTAATCTCAAGATGGGCAACTGAGACATGTACAGATGTGCAACACCTCCCCAGGTTTTGTTATATTTGTAAACAGGGCATTGAAATCTTATTGGCATTTTGTAATATTTGGAAGCACAACTTAAATTTCCAAGAAATTCATTCATTCATTCATTCATTCATTCATTCATTCATTCATTCATTTATTCGACCTATATGACTGTTTATCTTATGAAACAAAAACCCAAATGGCTTTCAACAATAATACCCCCCCCAAACAGTAAGACCACTTCGTCAATATCAGATGTTGAAGACAACAAATTGCAATTTAAATTGCCTACACATTTGGAATGTTGAAATAACATTGTAGGTGTATTCACATAAAAGATATTATAAGATAGCATTGTCTCTTCACTAAATGTATTTCATGGCTGAAGGCAAATTGATTTCTTGCGGTTGCATGATATGGGAGTTTTGTACCCATACATCTCAAAGAAGGATAAAGTGAACATATTTAGGATTTTTCCTTCTTAACTATTTTGGCTTAGCATGATAAGCAATTTTGACTATTTTATTTATTAATATGTATAACACATTTATAAAAATTAATGCATAACCGTAACAATATATACAAAATTATACATATTACATATTAAAATAATTAAAAAAATAAAATTTATTGCACGTGGACTGAACTGTGTAGGCCCGCATGTTATCAATACATAGCCAAACTTGACTAATAACTGATAGGAAAAAACTGCAAATGAGACAAAACTTCTTATAACAAGCAGCAAGAAAAGAATACATTTATTCTGATTTTTAGTCTGCTTAGTAACAGGTTGGGAAGTTTTGCAGCCTGTGCAGCATTCAATTTCTTCAACTTCCTCTTTCCCTTGATAGATCTCCTTCTTGTATTACCATGCATGAATAAATTCTGAAAATGTATTCATTTTCTTTTAATGTGATATTTTGCTGGTAATCACATGTAGGGACTGAACATATTAAAAATGTCAGAGGCTGCACATTCTGCATATCAAAAATGAAACAGATTTATGTAGGATTCTTGATGCACCAATCTCACTTCAAAAACAAGATCAAGAAGTTCATACTTCCCTCAATATGAGGAGAAATTTTCAAAAAAATCTTGATGGAAAGTTCTTGAAAACTTCTGAAAACATGGATAACATTGTATCCTTTCCATATTGCATTGTATGTTTTCAGAATTGAAATGCAAGATTAGTTACCCATAAATTTCCCTAAAGTAGGCCAGTGAACTTCATAATTCCAAGCCTAATTTTAAACTAAACACGCTTGACTTTCAGCAACTATGTTGAACCATGTTTAATTTACCTGCATTTATTAAAATACATTTGAAATTAAAACAGTAGTAAGGGTAATGAATGCTTAGCTGTTCAAGGCAGTGCCATTATTTTCTTTGTCAAGACAAAGAGACAATGTAATTTGTGTCAACGAAGCACTTTGCATCACTTTAATGTATTTGATTTAGGTGCACTCTGAAGCCTCCACAACCCCTTATCTCTTCTATCATTTGCAAATTCAGGAGAAGCTTCTGCACGAGTATAACCAAAGTGAAGAAGCCTGTTCTTGCTTTTGGGAGAGACAAAAGGTTCTATGACGGGGCTATTAAGAAAAGGCTTATCTTGCAATCTCCTCCTAGCAAGGCAAAATCCAAAGCATCTTCCAATCTTTGCATCTCCTAATAAAGTTTGTCTCATTCAAAAACCAAGAAAATAATTAGATATAGAAATATCACAGCAATGGATCACGGTTGGCAGATCCATAAACTCTTTCATCATCATAGTTAAATAGCTTTTTATGTGACTCTGATAATAAACATTTCTGCTTTGCATCCTAAAATCAAGTACTCAAAATGAGTTCAATGAATCAATCATTACTATTAATTCCCTGGTCTGATCTGTATTGCAGATTCCAGGTCAGATGAAAGAGACTCTCTGACGATGAAGTTTCATGACTTTGCAAACTGTTCTCATATATTTCATTCTGAGATTTTTGATGAACTATTTAATAAGATTATTAATAACTTTATATATGTATATATTTTTTATCACTGCAGACTTTCTTTCCTCATTGAAAAAGAAAATCAGAAAACATGCCAGAGCAAAGTAATGATTACAGGGTGGTGGTGTTTGGAGCAGGAGGAGTTGGCAAAAGTTCACTGGTCCTGAGATTTGTTAAAGGCACCTTCAGAGACAGTTACATCCCTACAATTGAAGACACTTACCGGCAGGTGATCAGCTGCGATAAGAGCATATGCACTTTGCAGATTACTGACACAACAGGGAGTCATCAATTTCCTGCCATGCAACGCTTGTCTATTTCCAAAGGACACGCATTCATTTTGGTCTATTCAGTCACCAGCCGGCAATCTTTGGAGGAACTCAAGCCCATTTATGAACAGATATGTCAGATCAAAGGGGATACGGAGAGCATTCCAATCATGCTGGTGGGAAACAAGAATGATGAGGATCACAACCGAGAGGTACAAACCACTGATGGAGAAGCCATGGCCAAAAAATGGAAATGTGCCTTCATGGAGACATCGGCTAAAATGAACCACAATGTCAAGGAGTTGTTCCAAGAGCTGCTGAATTTGGAGAAACGTCGGACTGTGAGTTTACAAATTGATGGCAAGAAAAGCAAGCAGCAGAAAAGAAAAGAAAAACTGAAAGGCAAGTGTGTGGTCATGTGAAAGGATCCTTATTCTGGAGCAGTCATGCAGATGTCTTCTTCTGACTGTACCAGATTTCATGCCCCCTAAGCCATGGGAAAATTGATGGAACAGTCTTATTAATAGCAATTTTGAAAGAAAAGTACCTGAATCAAGCAGTTGTTTGCAGTAAAAGTACTTTCAAGAAGTTGTCTTTTCATAAATTAGCCATTAATGAGAACAAAATTGTTCCAAAGGCACAATGGTATCTAACTTGCAGATCAGAAACAATAATATTTCCATTAAAAAGACTTTTGCTAGCATTACTATTGCAATGAAAGGATCTGGTAATTACTCATTTAAAGATAAACACTAGTGTTTTATGCAGAATTATGAAAGATGAATGTGAGTGTGTATGCACATCCATATACACATATTTGGCAGACTTAATTTAATTTTATTTAGGTGTTAGAAAAATGACTTTCCTAGATTGTATTTTTTCTCCCTCTTCTGCTGTATCTTGTTTTTATTCTCACTGATTCCTTACCCTCCTAAGTAATGTGTAAAAAAAAATAATCTTGCCTCTTGTAGCCAGTGCATGGGCAAAGCTCATTACCTTTCAGCTCTACTTGCAAATAGTTCAGTCCAGAGATGGCATGGCATGGAAATTATTAGAAAAAAGGATACCTGGGAGAGGAAATAGTTTTTGACCAAAACACTATTTCTATAGTTCCTAACTTTCTTTATATTTATTTCTACCAAATACCAAATAATATTAATGATGTTCTGTAATCTGAAGAATTTCTAATTTATAAGGTTATTGAATGAATTACAGTTATAATCCATAAACTGTGAAGAGTTAAAACAAATACAATTAATTTACTATAGACTGGTTAGGAAAATTAGTGTTGGGGAACAGTCATGTGTTACATGAAGGACAACCAAAGAACATATTTGTCGATATGGCACAGACAGGGAGGTCCATACCTTTTTGCCAGAAGTGCACTGATACAAATTCAACTGATAGATGTGGATATTTTCTCTGTAATATTCAGCTTCAGGAAGAAAGTCGAATGGTAACACCCATACACTAGTTCCAAAATCTGATTGTTCCCCAGACACATACTGTATATGCCGGCATTTAAGGCGACCTGGCATATAAAAATGACTCCCGTCTTTGGCGCCGAGTCGCATGCCTAGAACGTCGTCTTATACGCCGGAAACTACCAGTATTTCCGGCGTATAAGACAACTCGGCGTATAAGATGACCCCCGACTTCGGCGCCAATTTTAATGCTTGCGTAAGTCACCTTATACGCTGGCATATACAGTAAATAAAACCACTGAGACTATACTAGTCTGGAGCTAGTGCAGATAATTTTTTTTACCAGTAATGGGAAGAAGTAAGAACGATTTTTCTTACTTCTTCCCTAATCATGTCCCTTAAAACAGATAAACAGTACATCCCACTCTAGTTGCAGCAAACTGCAAAAGTTGTGTCTATGAGGATGGATCCACCAGGAAATTTTAAGTGAACCTTGGAATTAGGAAAATTTCAAAAACAAAAACACTCTCATTCCTCAATAAATCCTTTTCTGTGCACAGTAGACATCAAGGAGTGCCTCATCATCATATTCTCAACAAATCTAAGCTGAAGCTTCATTTTAAAGATGAATCATTTAGTTATATTTACCAAAGAATAATAATCTTAACTATGTTTCATTGTAATCAAATATTAATTTAATTTTTCTTCCTTCCTCATTATCCATGCTATATCTTAATTTGGCCCCTGGTTTGTCATTCAGGCCAAATATGGTCCTAAATTCAAAGAAAGATGGCCACCCCCTTGGAGAATAGTTTAAGATTCTCTGAATCTTATTTGCAAACAGATGTGGATTCAAGTTAGGTTTGATGATCTTAAACAGACAACTGAAACCTCTGCATTTATATTATAGCACATGAATCAGAACATTTATCTCTCTTTTTAAGGAGAATATAAGGAGAATAGAGCCTTTTGAAACAATATATTGGTGTTTTAGAAAATGGCTATATCAAAAGTGAGGCAATACAGCAAAATATTCACAAACATAGGATGTGTGTTTCACTGTGAATGTCACTGAAGAGGCTATTTTAATGCATTGTCTGCTTTTAACTAGGTATTGCTCATGATGATATTAATGCTGTGAATCCTTCCATCTTAGCAGCTCCAAACAAATTTCTGTTTTACACAAAAACAAGAATTGCAGACAAGCAGAAACCTGCCATATGAAACCATAGCTCATTTCAAATGGAACCTTTTCTTTTTCATTTTCTGTAGAGGAGAAATAAAAATGGATGAACCTGAGGTGAAGATAGATGTCCTTTATAAATGTTTGATCTTGATAGAACAAATGTGTGGGGGGAGTGAAATGTTACAGCAACAACTTGCACCTTTAAAGTACACACATTCATTTGAACAAGAAAATCTTTCTTCTGATGTTCCAGTAAAGGAGGGATGGGGGAGGAATACTACTTTAATGGTGCTCCTCTCATATGGTTATTTGTTCCAGATTGAACCGAGATGATTAATGGTGTACTCAGAAATGTGGTGGAAATTATTTTGACACCCATTCAGTACATTCTGAAGCATTTTCAGGACATCAAAGTCTGTCAAAATTTCCTCCACATTTAAAAACTATAAGATAGATCCAATAGCTTCTTTTTTGTCTCAGTCAGAATCTCCAGGAGAAAGAAACCAAGAGCTGAGTTCATTTAACATTCTTAGTCTAGTTGGTGAAATCGAGCTGTCAATTAGGATTTTTTTGTAGCTTACCCTGATATGAGAACCCATCCAGTTAGGTTAATTTATGATTTAAGGTATTGCATGAATCCAAATAGACCTAACTCATGAACCAGATTAAGCTTGTGGCCTAAATTCATTGGACATAGCCATTGGTTTCACTCAACAAATGCTGTCAATTCAAACTTTTCCAAAGGAACAGTACATAGGTATTTTCAAATTTTCTTTTAATTTTTTTGCATCAGGTTTCTCATTAGAATCTTTTTAAAACCACATGTAAGCACATGGGCAATTTGTTTTTATTTTCTGTTAAACAAGTTGATTTTCAAACTATCACAAAATCCAACAGCATTTAGTATGGCAATAATTTCATATAGAACCACATTATTGTCTTCTTTTGTTTTTAAGCATGGCTTCACTAAAAAAGGTTTTCGTTCTTTCCATTTGGGATTCCATTAAGGAAAATAAAAACTCAAGACTGAAATACATTTTGAAATATAATCTGGTAGCTACTTGCTAAAACCACATGTTACATTTAGAATCTACTTAAAAGCAATGAATATTTTGAATTAGAATTTCAGGACCAACCTAAACATGATTTAAGAAAAGACAGCTCTTGGTTCCTCTTTCCTTCATGAATTTTGCCAACTTCATTCCTAGCCCTATTTTTCTTAACCTGCAGAAAATGACTGGAGCAACTCCGATATATTTTTTTGGAATCATTTAGTACTTTAAGGCATCCTTGAACATTGAAGTCACCTTGAACATTGAAGCATTTCTCTGACTTCCTACAGTAATATTTGCTCCAGCTACACCTATTTATCAGGGATGCTTCCTATTTTACAGTAATAACTACTGGCTAATTAGTGTTCTTCTTTGTAATTTGGAGAGTAGTTTTCTAGCCACTTGCTGTACTTACTATTCTTCAGGATTTATCTTCTTTCTGAATTAATTCTGGGGATGTGGAAAAGATGGATGAGGCTGGACTTGATCTGAGTCATTTTTGCAGTTGCAGCACTGAAAAAGAGAAGCTTTAGTGATGATTAAATTAAATCCCATTGTTTCACGAATCGGTTCTGTAAAACTACATACAGATATAAGCCATGATTTATTCTAATGGCAATGCATGTGCATGAATACCGAGGCACCAGGAAGCACATAGCCTGCCAATTCACAAACTCACAGATGCTAAAACATCTTTAGATCTTCCAGTAGGGCAGAACAGTTAGTTTCTTTTTAATCAAGCCAAAAGAGCTATGGTTTTAACTCAGTTTAATATGATCAGCAGCAGACAAAATAGTACCTTCAATATCCCATAGCATGTTTGTGTGTGAGAAAGGAGTTCCACTTGGATGCTGCAAATATGCTTTCGTCATTATAATCCTGGGAGATAACTAAAAGCAGCCCTACAACCTACAGCCTGTAACTCCCAGAAAAGCTATTAATAGAACTTTCCTTGTAAATGCATGACATCCCTGTCAAAGAAGCTTGTACAAATCCTTCTTAACTTCATTCAGTCTATATTATCTAAAAAAAAGACAGTTCATTTATTTCCCATATCCTGTCTGTGATTGCAAATCTAATCATTTGTATCAAGGAAACTGAAACAATCAATTTTAAACATGTAAGTATCCTATTTAGATTCCAGAAATTAGAAGATATTTTAGATAGTTATGCATATTAGCCTCTGTTAAATCAGTCATTATTTAAATGAAAACATAATATTCTTCTGTTGCTTGTTGATCCCATACTTGTAATAATAGAATAAGCCATGACTATATTTTATAGCTTTGCATTTACTGGGGCAAGGCTACTATACAAGCAATATTTATTGTTGGACCAGTAATTCTAAAGTAGGTATGTTTTATATTATACCCTTTTGTTGTAATTTATAACAGATTTTACATATATGTGTGTTTATCAAAATACATGTTCACTCTTACAATGTAAAGTTTTGTGGGAGTTTTTTAATAGAAGACAGAAATTCTTAGAGAATAAATAGTTATTTGGTTTGTTACATTTGTGGTTTATTTTCAGGTGTGATATTAATAAATATGAGATGTTTGAAAATCAATATTCACGGACAAAAAATAACTTGTTTCAACTTGTCAAGGGATGCCAGCATCATGAAAATGTAATATGGAAAATTATGCTGTTCAAAAAGCATGAATTTTATATAAGTCTGCAAGCTATTGAGATGCATATTCAAGAGTATTTATTGTTATAGTTTCATTCAGTAATTTTTATTCGATAGTGTTTATCATGTACTTTGTGCCTTCGGGTTTCTATGTTCCCTGTGATATTCTATAGATAAAACAGAAAAAAAAATAAACACTTTAAATGACAAATTTTAGATTTTGTTCTAATTATTTATTCATCAGATTTAAAAGTCAATTAAATTGCAACCAACTCTAAATGAAATCACACCTATACTGCATTGGTAACAAAGATTAAAATAAATAACAAAGTATGTTGTAAATCATGACTTCTACATTGAGAAAAAGACTCTCCCAATGAAAATTACCCACAGTCTATCCACTTTACTCTTGAAAGGCTTCCTGGAACAGGCATGTTTTATTGGACTTTCTAAATCCCAAAGAGCTGTTTAATAAAAGGGGTGTAGCCACAAATAAGGCTTCCTTACAAGCCCCTGATGTAATACTCCTTCAGATTAGGGACCTTTGCCAGTCTTACAGGGTGGGCAGATATTGCAAGGAGCAAGCAATTCCAAAGATACCAATCCTCTTATAAATGACTCCAAATAAACATGGGAAGGCAAGCACAAAAAAAAAAAAAAAAGAAAGAAAGAAAAAAGAAAAAACTTTTTAAGATGGTGAATAACAGGAAGGAGTCTAAGGAAGTAGGTATCTGAGAATAACACCATATACCATTGGAAAAGGGAGTATGCAGGTAAAGACAAACTATTTAAGGCTGAATTCTAGGGATGATTTACTTAGGGGCAGAGTTTGTGAATCTGTGTAGGATATAAAAGAAAAATGGAATCTAAATTTGCCGGAAGGCTTCTGAGCTGGGTGTCAATCTGCTGAATGTTGCATCTTCTGCAAAATTCCAGTCAACCTGATTGAATGATGGTACAGGTCGTCCTTGACTTACATCCGCCTGAGCTCAAAATTTCCATTGCCAAGCAAGACAGTTGTTAAGTGTGTTGTGCCCCATTTTACCATCTTTTTGCCACAGTTATTAAATGAATCATTGCAGTTAAGTGAATCACGTGGTTGTTAAGTGAATCCTGCTTTCCCCATTGACTTTGCTCGTTGGAAACTGGCTGGAAGGTTACAAATGGTGGTCACATAATCTGGGGACACTGCACTGACATAAACACATACCAGTTGCCAAGCATCCAAATTTTTATCACATGACCATGGGTATGTGTCAGAGCATGCATAGTCTTATTGCACTGAGATAACCCAGGAGTAAACACAGTAAACAATGGTCTATATTAAATGGTGGTTTATCTTACACTATCTACAATATCATACACCAGGAACAATATACATGGTAATACAGCAGGATCCAACACACAGCAGTTACCACAGGAAAACGGAAGAGAGGGAACACATCAGCAGAGCCTTCCCTTTATACAAATGCTCTTAAAGAGACACAGACTTTGCTGAGTCAGTCCCATCATTACATCTTACATCTTACATTACATAAGCTAGTTAGCTGTTAAATCAATACCTTGACAGGATGCTGGAATGGTCATAAGTGTGAAAAAAATCATAAGTCACTTTTTTCTAATGCCATTGTAACTTCAAACGGTCACTAATCAAATGGTTTTTAAATTGAGGACTATTTATATATAGGAATGTGTGAATGAGAATAATGGGAAATTACTGAAACAGTTCAAATAAACCCATTTGTATTACTTTGGTACCTGTGATCTCACTTCTATGCTTATGTCAACCATCCAGCTAGCAAATTCAACATTGAGGAATTTTTACAGCTTTGAGATGCCATAAAAATAAACTTTATTGAATATACATCTCGGTACTGAAGAAGCAAAATCAACTCTGGTTTTCCTGCACAAAAATCTGGTTAGTTAACAATAGCTTTTCATAGCCACCACCCACCCAAGTGTTCAGGTTGCCCAATCACATCTCTTTGGATTGTTATGGGAACGGTCCACTTCTCTGTCAGACACCTGCTTTTGTGACCTTGAGTCTCACAGTTCATGGACAGCTTCTTGAAACTCCTGTTTCTCTTCCAGGCTCTCCCTCCCCACTGTTTCTATAGCAAGTTGAGTAGTGACAGAGGTTTGCAAGCATTTTAGCAATTTGAAACTGTTTAAATCTGGCCTGTGATCTTAGGTTAGATCCTAGATATATTCTGTAACAACTTTAAAGAATATAGGGCTTTAAAATATTCAGCACCATTAACACCACTCAGAAGCCAAATAATAATTAGTATATTTCTCAAAGTAATAATGTTAAATGAGCAAAATATGACATTCCACATCTATTTGACCTGTTGTATTTTGAAACAGCTATTGTTTCTGGGTCATCTTCAAGGGCCACCCCAAGTAGAACTCACTACTGTAATCCAACTGAGAGAGAGGTGACTGGGGAATGAACGGCCCTGGGCAGGGGCTCCTAGTCCAGGAGTAATTATAACTAGTGTACTTGGTAGAGTTAGGCAAAGCTCTCTTATTGTCTAACCCCACATGTTGTGAAGCAAGACCAAGAGAGCAACAGTGCCATAAATTTCAGTGAGGTCCTCTTGAAAACTGTAACAGGAACTTCATGGCTTCAATTACAGTGAGTTAATTAATGCAGAGTCTTATCGAAATTAGTTTCCCACCTTCCCTCAGCAGCCAGATTGAATTGCCTTTTTTGAAAAAAATATTCAACTGACTCTCCACTATCTTTCCACAATTTATCACACCTACTTGGCTGGCCACTTGCTCTCTGAAAAAGAGCTATGAGTTGAAGAGGATCCTCAGATAATGAACTCCAAATGAGGAAGTGTGACCACATCCAGCACTATAAAGAGAATTTTCCTGCTCCCAATGTAGACTTTGTTGAACCAATCTGTTCTTCCCCATCCAGACCCTAACAGACTCCAAGCACATTTACTCTCTGTCTCGGGTCAGGCTGTAGAATTGAATATCAGCATACTGATTGATATTGATCCCACTGGCTTTGTGTAGATGTCAAATGGGAAGAGGAAGAGAGACCAGAGCCCTGCAGCATCTCACAACATAGAGCTTTAGAACTTTACTTCTTCCTTTTTACCACAACTGAGTGAAGCTGGTTCTAGAAAGAGACAGACCAGTCTGAGCCTCAGCCTGTGACATAGGAATTAATTGAATAGAGAGATGCTTATCGGCTGATCCAAAGCATGATCTAGGCAAGGTCCCAAGCCCAGGTCACAAATTAAGAAAAGAACAGCAAAAAAGTCAAACCATCTACAAGAAAAAAAAGGAAGGAAGGAAGGAAGAAAGAAAAGAAAAGAAAAGAAAAAAGGAAAAGAAAAGAAAAGAAACATAGTCAAACTGGTAGTAAGACTTATAGAAAAAAATTGCAGCTTGATTGACTCTTTGTGGCAATCAGTGTCGTACCGCCTCTCTACAATTGATATGTGTTATTTTGAATTCCTTCTTTGACCCAGCTGAAATTTGGACTGGACTGGTCACTCTTCAATCACTTTGGAGGAGGTGTTCTGTCTCTTTGACCATCCGCAAAGTAACCTTTCTTGTTTTCATTCCCTAAGGAAAAAATCTACAATGTGTTTATGTAACAATGGTTGAAGATTTATGAATACAATGAACACCTTACATTTGTATCATGAGCTGGCCCTATGTATGTAATTGGCCCCATAGAATGTGGAATGAAGAGAATCACTGCAGCACTACATTTCTCAATCCCAATACATATCATGATCTGTCAGCAGAGAGATCAAGAACCGGTACAAATTCAGGTTTACAGGAGATTTTGGTACATAGAACTTATGGTTTCATATGTAGGATAATGTGCTGACATCATCAAGAAGTATTTTTTCTTCTTCTCCAAGCATTCCCCTGTGTGTGATGTAGTCTTATGGTAGACATTTTTTTTAATAAAGTTTTTATTGAGTACAAAGAAAAAAAGGATTAAAAACATTGAACATGGTAAATCGTCTTTGACTGACATCTCAGTCCATGTTGTACATTAATTACATATAATATATCTATATACAAACTATACATTTCTGGTCTCTATCTTAACTTATCTCTTTATTTGTACCTCCATTTTTTCCCTCCATCTATAAAATTTATTCCATGTTCGATAAAATTCTGTTTCTTCCTGATTTTTTAATCTTTTAGTTATCCTATCTAGTTCTGCGCAATACATAATTTTCTTTATTAGTACTTCCTCACTCGGTACTTCCATTGCTTTCCACTTTTGAGCAAATAGTATCCTTGCCGCTGTAACCACGTGAATAATTAAATATGTGTCCTTTTTATTTACATTTTTCTCTAGTATTCCTAATAGTAACACTTCAGGTTTGTATAGAATGTTTTGCCTAGTCATTTCTATTGCCCATTCCCAGACCATACGCCAATATACCTGTGCTTTTCTACATGTCCACCATACATGAAAAAAGGTACCCTTTTCTTTTTTACATTTCCAACACATAGATGAATATCTGTTATACATTTTGGCTAATCTGGCCGGAAGGAGATGCCATCTGTAAACCATCTTATACAGGTTTTCTTTATATGATGTCGCCAATGTGATTTTGTTATTTCGCTCCCATGCTTGCTGCCAGAGAAACAAAACAAAGATTATGACAAAAAACATGACTAACATACAAAAAGGAAACCTCGAGGCAAAATTAGGTATACAAGTAGTTTCCAAATTAAAATATCTAGGGATAGCTATTTCAGCACGCTGCTCATCAATTAAAGAAGACAATTATGGCAAATTGATAAAGAATATAAAAGTAGATTTAGACGGTTGGAAAAATTTGCATCTTTCATTACTTGGGAGAATTGCTGCAGTGAAAATGAACAACTTACCTAAAATGATATTCCTGTTTCAGAATATCCCAATTCAATTAGACAAGAAATTTTTCAAGGAGCTGAATAAATTAACCTTAGAATTTGTGTGGTCCGGTAAGAAGGCAAGAATAAAATTAAAGGCATTACAGCAGCGGTTCTCAACCTATGGGTCGCGACCCCATTTGGGGTCGATCGACCATTTTTCGGGGGTCGCCAAAGGTGCGATCCGCCATTTTTCGCGGCGCCGCGCATGCGTGTTGCGCATGGGGGGCAGCGCCGTGTATGCGCGTCGTGCATGGGGCGGCGCCGTGCATGCGCGTCGCGCATGGGGCAGCCCCGTGCATGTGC